GCAAACATGAAAGGAAAGTGCAATGAATTATATGCAGGATGTTGGCAACTCCTGATGATTTTGATGATGATGCCATGGGTGCTGAAGATGATCGTGAGACACGAAGTTTAAACAAGCTGTCTAGGCTTCTAACTCCTCAAGTAGCAAGACCCAAGGTGTGGATCACAAATGCTTTAATTCTGTCTTCATTTTGTTGAGTTTCTTGTAAATAAATGTCTTTTATTTGAGTGTATGCAACTGCATTAAGATTGATTCTCTGAATTTGTGGAATTTGACAGTCTTTTTAACTTCTGTCTCTGTGGATGGCTCTCTTCCTTTTCCTTTATTGGTGGTCACTCTAATTGTTTTCCCTTATTCGTTCAAAAGCTCATCCGCACCCCTTCAAAAGCTCTCCTATTTCAGTCTTTCCAAATGCTTAGAGCTAGAGGAGTAACATTCCACACACCTTGTGCCTATTTTCTCCTAGCTCCTCTCTTCCAGCTTACATCAATTCCTTCACGGATCTTGGCATCCCATAACCTCGTGGCTAATTTACAATGTAATAGAAGACGATCCATGTCCTCACCAGTATCCTTACATAAGAAACACCAGCTCATGTAGATGACCTTTCGTTTTCTAAGGTTCTTTGCCGTCAAAATCACCCCTCACAAATATTTGTATTACGAGATCAAAGAAATACAGTGTGGTTGAATAATTATGCAAGTAGTTAGTACTGACAGTATTAAGGTACTGCAAACTTTGTTTTGTTACCACACTTCTTCTCTTTTCATGTTTCCTCGGTATTATATTCATATATGTGTACATATATTCGCTTTTTGCTTTATCAAAAAAATAGATATATGATAATAGGGGCCATTAAATGGGGAAGCACTCCTTACTAGGAATTTCTCCATTCCGAGAGCTCGAACTTGATGACTACATGTGTGTATTTTGATTCTGTTAAAGTGAACTTCTGTTAGTTATTTTTCCTGCATGGAATCTTTTTCAGCTTTCAAAATTCGTCTAGTATGTGTCTTGTTATTATGTATGTCCTTTTAAGTACTGCAATTGTTTCATTTAATTCACCACAATTTGCCACTGTAGATCCCCAGCTATGCTGTCAACGCCAGAAACCGTTGTGGATGGGAAGCGCCAGATAAGTGGAGAATGGTAAAGTTGTGTACCCGTTATTCACCGAGTTCTAAACCTAGCATCACACAAGCCCTCGGGAATTTCTCGGTTATGAGTAAAAGGTGTAAAAGTTGATATTCTCTTTTTTTCAAAAAGACCTCTTTTTCTTCCTTCCAATTTTGTCACCCTTGGAAGAGGGGAGTGGAAAGTCTATGTTGTATTGGTCTCAACTTGCATAGTTTTGTAATGGCTAGCTTGTAATTTTCTTGTTTTCACTTTCTATTTAGATTCTATAAAGCAATGCTTGCAGTTGAATTGATTTCGAATGGGGGATATGTTAGTCTAAGTTGGTTTGAATATCACGGTTATTAAAAAAAAGAGCAAGAGTTGGGATGGACTAACTATTTTTTTGAGTTTCTTGTCTAAACTATCATGAGTAATCTATCAAAACGCTTCTTGAAGTTGACTACATCAAGTATTTGATTACAATCGTCAATAAGTGTATGACAACTTAATTTATCCATAAAATTCCGTCCATATGAGTGAAGTGAAGTGGGTTATAATTAATAAATTAGTGACAATTCAGATTAAGAGCATGTTTGACATTGTTGTTGGGAGCCCAAAAACACTTATTTTGAGAAAAAAAATAGGTGTTTGGCGAACTTGTAAAAGTGCTTTTAAATAAAAGCAGAAGCAGTTTTTCTGTTGTTGGGAAGAAGCTAAAAAATTTTGCTCCTTAAAAAAACCAGAAACAGAAATTATTTTTTTCAAGACTAAATAGATATACCAATATATCTCTTATTACTTAATTAACATATATCATATGTCTGGTTAAGTTCCATTTAATAATTTTATTTTTTATAATAAATGTATATTTTATTTTCCGTTTGCGTATTATTATTTTATTTATTATTTTACGTATTATTTTACAAAATTAGATAACAAGAAAAATGAAACAACAATATTTTTGTAAAATTAGGAAAAAAGAAAAAACATAACAGTTAAAGATTTCTACCCTTCAAAAAATGTATAATATTGATTGAAAAATTGAATATGAACATTTTATTTTAATATAAATTAAATAACAGTTAAAGATTTCTACCCTTCAAAAAATGTATAATATTGATTGAAAAATTGAATATGAAAATTTTATTTTAATATAAATTAAAATTTAATTTGATTTTTTGTAATATATGTTTAAACTAGTTTCTCTCTATAAAATAATCTTAATATTAAAAATACATTAATACTTGCCCTTAATCGTAATTTGACTCTCAAAAGCATTTTTAAAAAAAGATTAACCAAACACAATTTACTTATAAAAAACACTTTTCAAATAAATTAGCCAAACACAAATTGCTTTTTTTCAAAAGCACTTTTCTGAAAAGCTATTTTAAAAAAATGATTCTGAAAATAAGCAGTTTTTAGCAGCAATGTCAAACAGGCTCGAAAAACAGGCAATGCAAATTTAGATAGGAAATTTGCAAAAAAAGTAATACCTTTAGATATGTTTTTGACCATAATCTTTTAAGTTTTCAATTAATTATTTTAATTATTTGTATGGAGAGCCATTTAGCCAGGTATATTTTGATAAATAGTTGATGATAGTCGAGATAGAAAATAAAAAAGGAAAACTACATAATAAATGGACCATAAAATCCAAAATAATTACATGTTCATATCCAAACCTAGAGTAATTCAAGAAATACCCGTTCAGTAACCTGTATTTTTGCGCCAAATATATTTATAAATAAGGATTATTATTTATTTAATATATGTAAAGACGCTGTCCGTCGCTTTTTATTAAAAATAATTATTTTTAAATTCATAAATAACCACTCCATCCGTCGTTTTTAATTTATAAATAAATGTGAACTGTTTTACATTCAGCTACACTAAAACATCTTCCATTAACTAGTATCTTGGGATGTAATCCATCAGCTAAAATTGTTGGTTCGTTCTTCCATAACATATGAAAACAACATACATATATATATTCTGACGTCTTACGTTAACACTCAAGTCTATCGAAATTAAACATATATAAGTAAATATATACATAATAATTCTTGAGGAAAAAACTATTCTAATTACCATGAAAGTAGATGAAACAGAAGCTCTCAAATCTTTAAATTTGGGTACAAGAGGTTTTTTCAAACACCAATAATTAACTTGACATGCATGCATAAATATAAGCAGCCATTGGTTTTCTTTACACAATTTTTCTAGTATCGTGACTAAGTAGAAGTGAATAAGCAGTTTAATTTTATAGTTAGATTGTATGACCACAAAACGTTGTTTATCTGACGTTGCTTGATTTGATATGTATGAAGTTTTCGAAAAAAAAAAAGGTTTTTAAAACTTCTAGTCTAAAAAGACTAAAATAAGTCATGAATATTTGTGTGACTATAAATCATCGTCTCATAAAGGATAAAATAGACATTTAAAAGTTAAATTGATATCAAATATAAAAACATGTCATTCTTTTTTAAATTGATGAAAAAAAATTATATCATATATTGGGACAAAAAAGTAGTATTATTTTTCTCAACCGGTAATGAATTTATTGGTGAGGGTTTCTTTTTCATACCTATTTAAACTCGATTAATTCAAAATATTTATTGATCAACTCTTTTAGAGGGTTTCTTTTTTCAAACCTATGATTAATTCAAATATTTATCGATCAACTATATTAGAGGATTTTTTTTCATACCTATTTAAACTCGATTAATTCAAATACATAAATCGTGTTTCATTTTTCATCTCTGATTTGTCCACACTTCTTTAAACTCGTTAAGAGATACAATACTCATTTCTTTTTTTGCTCTTACATGGTCTGGGAGGATTGCTATTACCTCTGATATACCGACTTTCTCACCTTTCAGCCAATATTTTTGTAACCTACAACAAAGTAAAATATTTCATTTGTCAATACTAGTAAGAAATAATATCATAGAACTATCTAATTGAATGTACACTTTAGCGGTTTTAAGGCAATTCGACGTAAAAGAGATGCTTTACAATAGCATAACTAGTGAAATTTCACAAGTAGAGTCTGGGGAGGATGAAGTGTACGCATACCCTACCTCTATCTTGGGAGGTAGAGAGGTAGTTTCCGATAGACCCTCAGGGTTCAAGGAAAAGCATTTCAAAGCAGTTAGGAATAAAGGAGATGTTTTAAGAAAAGAAAATAGAGAAATGAATGCAGATATCTCAGAACTTGGATTATAAAAGCTAAAAGTCTCAAATAATTCTACGTCTATCATTGTTCACACTGTGCATAGTATTCGTGTCTTTATCCTTGATAAATATTTTGGTGATATGACTTCCGGAGAATTTTTTGCATAACCTTTATAGAACCCTCCAAAAGGGTTTCACTGCTTTGATTTTTAATTTTGTTGTTTCTTTTCTCAGATTTGGGCCTCTTTTGGGTCTTCACCATATTCTTTCTATTTTTTTTATTAATAAAATCGACTTTTGATTTTAAAAAAACCCATGACAGGGTGTTGGGGGATGGTATCTAAAGTTTCATCATTTTCACAGTTCATTTTAGACATCTAAGGGCCTACAGGAATTACATGATTTTTCTTAGTTTTTCATGTGTGTTAACCCATGAATATTTTTGTGATATGATTTTTGAACGAATTTTTTGTGAGTGACAACTAACTCATTAATTTCAAGGTGCGTTATGATTAATTATTAGTGATAATTCACAAAAAATGGCACGGAGTGCCATTTTTAAATTAAAAAAGAGAGTATACATATGCATCATCAAATTAATAAGGTAAAATATATTTTGATACACAGTTAATGAGTTAATGATAATTAAGAGAGAAACAAAAATATTAATAGTTCAAATAGTAAAATCGCAAAAATTCCTTTTTAAATGGAAAAAATTGAACTCCATTATCTCAGGATCCTCCATTTGTGTCATTCCCAACGGTCACATGATGCGACTCGCCGAAAATGGCGATAGTAGAAGCTGCCTTTGCAGCCACGCGATATCTGGTTACGTCACCGTTACGTGCTTCTTCATCGCCGGCGCATTTCCAGAACAACGTTAGGTCGATTAAGTCGATTACTCTGTTATCGAAACGGAGTTTATCAAGTTGTTCTTCGCAAAGTGAAAAGTGCCACATTAATTTGTGACGGGGAAATACAATTTGGTGTGGTAATGTTTACAAGTTGGTGTGTTTTGATGTTTTAGTTTGAAAAGCTGTGGTTTCCTTATGTTCCATTGTTTGAATGTTTAGAGGAATTTTGAATTGCTTGCTGAATTGTTGCTTTGAACATGAGGGCTTATTATCATCAGATTTCCTATTTTATATGACTTTATTTGACTGATTATGTTGTTTAAGATATTAATTTGACTTCCTTTCTTAGAGTGGTATAGTGGACGAAAAACTCGAAGTTAAAGTGTGAAAGTTAATTTGATAGCGTTCTACTATTGAATAGCGTAATGAACTTGAATTATTGAAGTTGTGAATTATCAAGTCATCTTGGCACAAATAGATATGGTTGGACATGTTATTTGAATTGTTTCACAGACAGACTTGAGTATTGAGATGGAGCGGGCTGAAGTAAGATTACTTATCTGATTTATTATTAAGTTCTAGGATGTAGTATGATGTGTAGTGCAAAAGATGTATTTCATTATAGAATCGCTTGAGATATTGCGTGAGGCTGCAAGATTTTGGATCTAGATCAGACTAAGGCGTATTAAACTTCTAGCTGGTTCATTGTGCATCTACTGCAGTGAGAAGGGGCTTTTGTAACATGTCCAGAATATGTTGTTGAATCCATTGACCATGTAGAAGAAATAAAAATGATGTTCTCTCTAACAACTTAAGTTTTTAGATGGGATGGTCACATAATTCACCTAGTATTAGAGTAGGAAGAGGTCTGGATTTGAGTCTATCCATCACCCATTATCAAAAGGAATTTTCAGGTTCTTCCCACAAAAAAGAAAATCAGGCCTACACGTGAGAGGGCATGTTGAACACATAATTAGGTAAATAAAAGTGGTGTTTTTCTAATAACCTAAAAACTTTTTTAGATGAGATGGTCACACAATTCAACATACCATATGTCTCAATTTCAGTATTTCTCTGTAACAACTCTGATTTTGTTGTTCTTTTGGTCTCAGGAAGCAGATCAGTGTTGTTGAGCATTGACCAGTATGAGTTGTTGGACTTCCTCGAAATCTTGAACTCGTAGTTTTAATTTATCTTATTTGGTTTCTCTTCAATACCCTCTCATTGTGGATAAACTTTCTTTCTAGGTTACCCTATATAGATACAGTAATAGGGATAGAACTATTCTATATATTTTATTTGAGAGTTTGGCTAGTTAATGGAAGTACTTACTTGCTTGAGCCTTTCTAATGTAAATGTTCCTTTTTATCATATTCTTGTGTTCTGCATTTTTTTTGTTTATATTTGCAAGTCATTGTGGGAGGAGAAAGTTCCCCTAAAACATGATTTTACTGATTGATTATCCTCATAATTGCAAGTTCCCTTCAGGCAGTGTTCAGGAAAGCGAGCTTCACAGACTAGAATGAGTATGTGAGCACTTCATCGCTTAAAGCGAGCGTTTCATCGCTTAAAGTGTGAAGTGGGGCCTTGTCGCTTTTTTCCGCTTCACGCTTCCCTGAACACCGCCTTCAGGAATGGTGTGAAAAAAAGATGGAGTATACTCTTCTTTGTGGCAAACAAGAAAAGACCAAAGCTATGAAAGCTGGTAGAAGAAGTCGTCATGAAGCACTCGAAGAAGAGGTATTCCCTATAGAGAGTTTAGTCATCCATTTATTTTATATTTTAACTATCTCAGTTCGAGTGATTGAGGCAGAAGTAATTTGACAGGACATATATTTCGTATTGTTCTGTATGTCCGTTTGAAGGGAGATGAAGAGATAATATCAAGACTCATGCCAAATTCCATAATGTTTCTATATGTTTAAACATTTCCATTTTCAAAGTGATTCTTTTAGTGTACTCTTATTTCAAAGATTTCCTATTCTTACCTTACTCTGAGTTTGAATGTGTGCAGGTGATCAAAAAGGTAAAAGTTCGCGTTGACTCAGCTGAAGATGTATGGGCATTCATGCTCTTAAATTTTATAGTTGGAGCCAATCAATTGTTATTTGACGGATTGACACGTGAATTGCCCCTTGTAAGTCTCTTTTTCATCTTTTGATTTCTCATAATAATTCTTTAATATTCCTAAAAGTAAGTTAGTTGATAACATTGTTCCACATCAACCATCAATTAGCTAATGAGCTTATTTACTGTGTTTCTATAAACCTTTTTGTTAATCAAACAGAGGTGTTTGCATATTTAAGTGTGATGTACACTTTATGACCCAATAATGAAACACCTTGACCCTTTAATCTCAATTAAGAAGATGGTGGAGGTGTAGAGTCACCACCATTTAATTCACTACTTTAACTTTTCATCAACTTAAAACTTTTGATCTACCAACTAGATTAGTTTGGCTTTGTTGCAGGACCCAAAATAGAAAAATAAGTGTCTCATGTCTAACAACTTAAACTTTAGCAATCACACAATAAAACATACTATCAGATTAAATGAAGGTTTTCATGTTTCACTGCTATCTATTTATTAAAAATATTTTTCACGTGTTTGGGGAAAGAAAAAGACTCAAGCCTACACGTTAGGACGCATGTTTGCAGGTTAAGCAAACAAATGTGTGTTCTTGTCCAGTTAAAACGTACTATCAGATTAAATGAAGGTTTTCAAGTTTCACTGCTATCAATTTATTAAAAATATTTTTCACGTGTTTAGGGAAAGAAAAAGAATCAAGCCTACACGTTAGGACGCATGCTTGCAGGTTAAGCAATACAAATGTGTGTTTTTGTCCAGTTGTTTTCCTGTAATGTACATATTTGTCCCACTCGTAAACACCTATTGACACCTGCGCTTGTGCATATAAGGCATTACTACATGTCCATCCAAAGTTGCTTGTGATTGAATGCATATCCTCACACTAATCCACCTCAACTTTTACTTCTGCACATGGTAGATAGAGTTTCCTTGTTAACAAGTTCACTGATTCCTGCAAAGTAGAAAGAAATTATGAAATATTCTTTATGATTTGCATCCTCATTAGCTGCTGAGCTAGTTCATTTGGTTCATCAGAGTAGGTTTTGCTGAAGGTGTATGGATGGTGGGAGTTATTGATGAGATACGAATGCCGGAAGGACAAAGTGATGCATATCCAATGTTAGTTGACACAAAAACACGAGTGCAAGCTAGCCTTCCTCTTGAACCACAACGGAGGAATGGAAGGTATAGTTTTGCACTGAATGTTGAACAGTAAAGAAACTTTAATATGATGCACCTTCGAGATGAAGAGAGATGCAACATATCTAAATTTCTTTACTATTCTAAATATATTTATGGGTACAAAATCTGATGATCTGATGCCCTTCTATGGGCGGCTTCAACTAATGTGCTACAGGCCTACAAGCATTTGTGGGACAGCTTGGTAGCTGATAACTTTCCCTCCGGCCAGTTCTTTGAATTCTTCTCTCTGAATCCTAATCACATTTTATCTGCACAAGTCAGAGAAAGTACTGCTGTAAGTATAGAAGGGCACTCCCGTTAACTTCATCACCCCATAACTTAGAAGTATATCAGTATGATGAACATCAAACTTACAAGAATATGCAATAACAAATGATAATTTTATGCAATTGAGGAGGGGGGGGGA